GGCTGGGATGAGGATCAGCACCTCCAAATCTGAGACCATGGTTCTCGGCCGGAAAAGGGTGGCTTGCCAACTCCGGGTCGGGAGAGAGGTCTTACCTCAAGTGGGGTCTTGTTCACGAGTGAGGGTAGGAGGGATCGAGAGATCGACAGGCGGATTGGTTCAGCGTCTGCAGTGATGCGGACGCTGAGCCGATCTGTCGTGGTGAAAACAGAGCTGAGCCAGAAAGCCAGGCTCTCGATTTACCGGTCGATCTACGTCTCAATCCTCACCTATGGTCATGAGCTTTGGGTAATGACCGAAAGAACAAGATCGCGAATACAAGTGGCCGAAATGAGTTTCCTCCGTAGGGTGGCCGGGCTCAGCCTTAGAGGTAGGGTGAGGAGCTCGGACATTCGGGAGGGTCTCGGAGTAGAACCACTGCTCCTCCGGATTGAAAGGAGTCAGTTGAGGTGGTTTGGGCATCTGGTCAGGATGCCTCCTGGACGCCTCCCTGGGGAGGTGTTTCGGGCATGTCCTGCCGGCAGGAATTCCACGGGTCGACCCAGGACACGTTGGAGAGGTTACATCTCCAATCTGGTCCGGGAACGCCTTGGGGTCCTGCCGGAAGAACTGGTGGAGGTGGCCGGGGAGAGGACGGTCTGGAGCTGCCTAGTTGGGATGCTGCCCCTGTGACCCGGACCTGGATAAGCGGAGGAAGACGACGACTACGATTATTTTAATTGATTTTGCTGTGTTTTATTTTCTGGTTTACATATTGTTGGCTTTAATGCATTGTGTTTTTAAATTATAATTAGTGTTTGGACTCCTGCTAGCTTGATGTGTTGCCCTTTTTTTCTGTGAAAGTAGAAACATTCTCCAAAAGTTAGTGTGCGATGAATGTCCTGGTAACCGTATTTCTAATAATGGTAAATGTAAGTGTTACAAAAAGAAAAGGATCTGAGGCACTCCGGAGGATGAAAATAGTTTAAAAGCCTTTAATATTCCATGGCTAATCAAATAAAAGCATGTCTATTAGTTGGTAGATGTATTTGTATAGTGGCTTCCTAAGGTTCTACGACCCCCACAAGGCTCTTCACAACACAATCAGTCATTCACCCATTCACACGCTGGTGGGGATGAGCTACGATGTAGCCACAGCTGCCCTGAGGCAGAGGCGAGGCCTGCCGAACACTGGCACCACCGGTCCCTCTGACAACCACCAGCAGGGAAGGCAGGTTAAGTGTTTTGCCCAAGGACACAACTGCAGCATTCTCTGGTTGGACCCGGAATCAAACCTGCAACCTTCCAATTCCTGGACAACCGGCTCCACTCCTGGGCTAATGCTGTCCCTGTCAAGCATGCAATTAAAATAACTCTCCAGCTGTTTCCCAAGCTTTTTACTTGCAGGGACAAATTGTCCTTCAGACTTTCCTGAACACATAACATCCTTCAGGTCTTTGACACATCTGCTGTCTATCTCTTTTTCCAAGTCAATTCTTCATTTGGGAAAAGAATAACAACCTGCTGCATGGATCATTAAAACGTTTAACTGTTCTTTGTTATCATTCCTTCTGCATCGTGACCCAGTGACAAACCCAATCAAAGCAAGCAGCCAAAAAGGGAACAGAGTGATATCTATAAAAACTAAGAGAGACAAGGGAAGAGATTGGTTTGTTCCACTATGTAAATCCAATAAAGCCCAGATGTTGACCCATGCATGACACCCAGTGGAGTTACAGAAAGTCCAACAAACTGCCGATATGAAATGGATTATCGTGTGTTGGATAAATTATAATTTAAATAATCAGTTTGATTTTACATGAGGAATTAAGATTGAAAGGTAGTAGGCAAAGGACACAAAGGTTACTCTTTACTCTACAGGTTATAAACTAAAGTCAACACCTATCGAGCTATGTCATAAAAAACAGATTTTATTGTCTCAAGTCTCATCTCTAGTATACCAAATAACTATTAACAAATGAATATATATATATATATATATATATATATATATATACATACGGTATACATATATATATATACGGTATATATATATATATATATATATATATATATATATATATATATATATATAAGCATCAAGCAGAAATCCCAAAGACTTTGTTGTATACAAGGTGTTAGAAAAGTTTGCAAATACTCACATTTGCGCAGGAGCTAACTAAGGATTCAAGTGAGACAGACTATTCAGACAAATATGTAGGAAACTAAATCACAACAAAACAGATGAATCATCATAATGTTAAAAGGATATCCACAATAACCTCATTTGGACCAGGATAACCAAAAAAAACATTGGAAAAAAAACATCCAAGTGAGGTCACAGTTATGCGGACCTAGTTCCTAGGTCCTACAGAAGTCCAGTTGGACCCAACAAAGTGAATATGGAGGAATTCTTCACATCTGTGAGCTGTTTATTAGTTAGTGGGTTGCATCACTATGTAATGGCATTGCACCACAACTTCCTGGTCTCTCAGGTTAGCTGCTCTTGAGCATTCCAAAAACAACCTTCTAACTCAGAGTGGACTGAGGATTCTGAGTTCCTGCTCCCAAACAAGGGAATGTTCATTCACTCATTTTTAATACTTGCTCGTTCCTGTTCGGGACCATAATGGTATGCCCTTGACAAATCAACAGTCCAGCTCAGGTCGAAATAGAAACAAACTTCTCACACAAACTCCTTGGGTACATTTCTAATCACCAGTTAACTTCACTGGCTTTTTTAGTTTTGGGGAGGGAACTGGAGTATAAAAACCAGTAAAAACGGATAGAACATCCAAAGCATGCCCCCTCCCCTTCAAACATGTCCCAGCAGAAGTCAAACTCAAGCCCTTTTTTGGTAAATGGCCTGTATTTTATAAAGTACCTTCTGGAGTCCTAGAGCCCTCCAATGTGCTTTATAATAATAATCATCATCATCATCATCATCAAACTTATATAGTGCTTTATTAGGACACTCAAAGACGCCTGCGTGAATTCTTACATTCACACACTGCCAGTGATGGTAAGCTACTACATAGCCACAGCCGTCCTGGGGCGGTCTGACGGAGGCGAGGCTGCCATTTGGCGCCATCAGCCCCTCTGACCACCATCAACACAGGCAAGTTGGGTGAAGTGTCTTGCCCAAGGACACAACAGCAGAATACCTCTGGTAGGAGCTGGAATCGAACCCATGGCCCTCCGATCATGAGGCAATCCGCTCTACCTCCTGAGCTACTGCTGCCCCACAACAGTCATTCACCTACACACGCACACACAGGTGGTGATGGGCTATATAAAATGGTAAAAGGTAAATGGCCTGTGTTTATATAGTGTCTTTTTAGGGTTCTACAACCCCCCAAGGCTCTTCACAACACAATCAGTCGTTCACCCATTCACATGCTGGTGGGGATGAGCTACGATGTAGCCACAGCTGCCCTGGGGCACACTGACTGAGCTGAGGCTGCCGAGCACAGGCACCACTGGTCCCTCCAACCACCAACACCAGGCAAAGCAGTTTAAGTGTCTTGCCCAAGGACACAACAGCAACATTTCCTGTCCAGAGCCGGGATCGAACCTGCAACCTTTGGATTACTGGACAACCTGCTCTACCTCCTGAGTTACTACTGTCCCTATAATGTAATGTATAGTATGTATAGTCTATAATGTAATGTATAGTATGTATAGTCTATAATGTAATGTATAGTATGTATAGTCTATAATGTAATGTATAGTATGTATAGTCTATAATGTAATGTATAGTATGTATAGTCTATAATGTAATGTATAGTATGTATAGTCTATAATGTAATGTATAGTATGTATAGTCTATAATGTAATGTATGTAATGTATTCCAAAAGTAAGCTGCAGCAAGGAACATTGTAACACAGGAAACTGTCAAAGACGGTTTTATATTTTATTAGACATAAATCCCTCCTGGCTCATACATAAGATGCCGGGTTTCTCAGCATGAACACATCATCTGCCAAACATCTGCTGACCTGTCCAGGTGTTTCCAGTGATACCCTGATCGCTTCCTATTATAAAAGGTTAGACGTCAACAAGTTGGCTAACTAAGCCTAATGGTGGCTACTTGAAAGATGCGTTGAATAAAATATTTTTGTTAATACTTATGATCAGTTTTATTTTTACTTCTGTTAGCAAAAACCTTCCATCCTCCTTGGTTTAAAGTCTCGGTCATCTATCTGAGTTTGAGCTTCGGCTTTGATGAATTACTCCTCTGCTGGTCCCTTTTGGTAAAATGATCTCCAACACTTGTTTTTCTCATCACAAAGACAAAACTGGATGAACAAAACAACGATAATTCATACACATACTGACACTCGCACCAAGAGCAATGTGGTGAAACATGAACTGTGATTTTTCTACTAACATCATCTGGACACATTTTAGAAGATGTGCTCAGTTGGGCTCAAATGAAGGAAGGGGTGACAGAAAGAAAACGCCAGTGAGGTTTGGCAAAATGAGAAATCCAGACCAACAACTGAAGAGTGTTCTCGATGAGCTGGTTATAATTTTTCTGCTCATTCTTTCTTGATCTCAGATCTAAAAGGACAAGTGTCGGGGCCTTGAACGTCTTGCGGTGTTTAAGTAAAAACACACACACACGCGTCTATGGGTGCTGCCAAAGATCCAGACAATTCAAACCGCATGAAAACCGACTGAAGTTCTCAGAAAAAGCTGACATAAATCAGACTTACTGTACAAGATTCCACCAAACAGTGCATCCAAGTGTCTGGTGCTCCTGTTTTTGTTTTAGATTTTTTTCCCTTCCATCTGGGAATGGAAGTCAGGCAGAACTAATGCTGTCAGTGTGTGTCAGAACATCAACGTTAACTCCTGCAGGATCAACCACCATCTGCCTGGGTGGAGGATGTACGGTAATAAATTAAAAAAAGGGGATTTTAATTAGTTACAGCGTTGTTTACTCTGAAGTACGGTGTCGTCATGGTTACAATCCAAACCTATTCACACATGAATAGCTGCAACGTAACTCCCTTACTTCTGCAGAGTGAGGCTGAGGTTGCCGGTACAATTCTTGATTTTGTTCTGAGCTTCAAGGTGGTTCATGCCGTCCGCCGAAATCCCATCGATGGAAAGAACCGTGTCTCCAATGGCGATTCCACTTTTAGCTGCTTTCCCACCATCAGTAAGCTAGAGGAACACAAAAACCACAAACAGCTTTAATTACCTTCACCAGCAAAATTCCTGCCAGCATTACGGGGCAGCACAGAAGGCTCTAAGTGATGTGGGAATTACACGTTAACTCTGATTTCATCAGGCGGCTTGTAAATGCATTCCGTTACACAACAAGTTGGAGAAAGCGTGCTAAAAATCCAACTTTATTCAACAAAAAATGTTCTTTTTTTGGCGTTTGTAAACCCTAACGTGTTTCTAAATACAAAACCAAAAGCCACACTTGTTTAATATCCAATTAAACAACATTTGTACCAAAACTGTAATTTTCCTGTGACAGTCGGCATGGATGGGGCACACAAATGTACTGTAGTAGTAAAAGATCCCGTAACAAAACCAGTGTTTTTTATTTATTTTTTTCCTATAAAACAACCCACCTGAAGATACTATGAGGTTAAGATTAAATAAAGTAATTATTCCCCTGGAAAAAGCAGTTAGACTGCTAATTTCAGGACAAACATGTTGTTAAAAAGGTGCAAAAAGGATAATGGGAAGCCACAAGGTGAGAAACATCACACCTTCACAGAGTCTGGAGAAGCAGGATTCGTTTTCTGTCCAGTTTACGAGCTAAATGAAGAATAAATTACTTTGCTATGTACCCTGTTCACAGTGCTGTACAGTTGGGCTTTACAAGCAGTATGAGAAACAAGGGGTTAAAGTGGCTGGACTGATTGACCAATGAAGAGCAGGTGTGAGTCAGAAACTAAACTGAGGGAGACAATTAAGAAAAACACTGTCAACACAAAAATAGCGAAATCCCACAAAATAAATACCTTAACTAGAGCAACGACCACCACTAAGAAAAAATCAAAGAAGAGTTTTGATGTTCAAAGTTGTTGATCACTCATTTCATCAATACACTAGCAGTGGTCTAGTACGAACAAATACCTTGTAAGTCGTACTCTGGGGGGGGGGGGGGAAGTCCAGAAGCTTTCAGCTTGAGAAATCAGCTGGAGACAAAAGTAGCTTGAGACAGGATTTCGAGTCTAATTTCCTGATGTTTGGACCTCTCGCCTTGAATTGGATAACAGCGACGCGACTACCACTGACTCAATTTGCTGTACCCCCAACCCTAACGCCTTATTGCCTAGCAGCAAAATTCATGTCCCAAATATCTATAATTCTCCAAACAACTAAAACTACTAAATAGTTTAGGTGGAAAACTAAGCCATTTTAAATATTAATAAATTCTTTTACAATAATACTTACATTTTATTTTAGAAGAGTATCTGGCCCACAGTGTCTGCTGGAAAAAGACCTTTGGCCCTTGAACAAATATAATTGAAGACCCCTGCTCTACAACATGAATGTTCTAACTCCACAAATAACATAAGCCTGGAGGAGTTTTTGCTGTGTGGTTGAGTTGCTAATGCTAACAGTTAGCTAAACCCGAAAAAGCCTTCCCCGTCATATGTCAAGATGGGCGAGTCCATGAATGTTAAGTGACAGTATGACATAGATCTGTCAGGCTTTTCAAATCCTGGAGTTTCTATTTTCTATCAGAGGCTAATGCAGGTTTCTAAACCTTGTCAAGATAGGACCAAGCGTTATTTTTTATGTAGATTCAAAGATGTAGATGTTCTGATGACCTCTGCTGCAAAATGAGCTTCATGACTTGTTGAATCAAATTTATAGTTCAGTATCTGAGCAGATGAGAAGTTTCCTAACCCATGTAGCCATTATAGGCGTTTACTTTAACTCAGACACCATTAGAAACATGTGACACTGTGGGAATGTCAGCATTTATCCTTTCAGAGGACTAATGGAACAAAGTGACAGATTTAGAAAAGTGCGTGGGCCGTATCACTCGTTTTTTTTTTCCCAACAGGACACCAAAGCGTTCTTCCAAGCTCAACTTAAACATACTCTCTCACAGGCTCAGTAAGTGCCCTAACAACAGTAATTTAATACTCAAATAACGTGATTATTTCTGTTGTTAATAACACAGGACAAAAATATAGGTGAAGTAATTAGTGCACAGACTCAACTTACAGCTTTAGTTCTGACCATTCTTGGTCACAAAGAACATCTATGTGTGTCCAGACGGGAGTGAGGTCATTTGTTTCTTTTAACACCCTGAAAAGGGACCACACACACACACACACACACACACACACACACACACACACACACACACACACACACACACACACACACACACACACACACACACACACACACACACACACACACACACATGTGTGGATCTCCATTGACTTCCATTCATTTTAGGGACTCCACTATGCCTAACCCATACCCTAATCCTAACCTCGACTAAAAGTTAATACACACCATTAAAACCAGTTATTAGGGTGTTTTCCACTGTGAGGATCTGGCAAGTGTCACAATCTCTAAATGTCCTCATGTTAGAGATGAGAATTCAAAATGTGTCCTCACAGCAGATGTACACACACACACACACACACACACACAGAGTTAAAAACAGACACAGGAATGGTTAATAAAAGAGGCTCTGTGCACGGATTAGTGTAAAAGCTTCGTGGCCCCAACCTTTTATAGTCATATTAGCCCAGCACACGCAACGTCGCTCACCACCGCTCTCGGATACTTCAGCCCTGAAGAGCAGAGTACTGAGGGGGCGACGTTGCATTGATTACATTTCTGGATGTATGGATCAGAGGGGGAAAGGGGAAAACAGCCTCAGGGTAGATCTCTGGGATTTTTACTCTGCACATTTTGACCCGTTTCCAGGGGTGTGTTCACGCTAATCACTCTTGGACTATTACCCACTAAGCCACAAAAGGTTCAGCTGAATGTTTTCCCCCCATTAGTGCTCTGCTTCCCCCCGCCACCCTTCTCATACAAACACCACCTCTTTCTCATACATAACTCACAAAGCACCAGTGTCTCTCTGTGCATTAAAGTGACCTCCAGAAAAGAAAAGACGTCAACCAGTTCGGGAAAATGCATCATTCATTTTTCTTTGGGGCAGAGAGAATTTGTTTTAGATAGCTGATGTAAATATGCACGTTTCGCTTCCAATTTTCTGAAGCTGTCATTTTATGGTGATCAGCAATTTGTTTCCAAGGGCAAACATTTGTTTTTAATCGCAGAGATGTAAGCGCTTCGGAGCTCAAAGTAGTCTGAGTGTTCTTATCAAAGACAGTTCGACAAATCATTGAGAAAATCAGAAGCAGAAATCCAGATAATCCTGCCGTCCACCGAGCCAAGTCCTTCCATTTTCCCAGGGTGTTTCGATTATGTCTCTGTTGTCTCTGGCCGAGACGGAAAACAGCAGTGTGCACATATCTGCTGGAGGAGATGGATGATACGGTCATAAATGCACGCATGCACCGTAGCATATTTAGGAATGTTACAAGAGCAACTAATCGAGGAAAAATGCAGAATAATCTTGAAAATGTGTTTATTCCCCTTATGTTGCTACCAGAGCCACAATAACTGTACATTTAAATCTACCTTGTTTTAAAAACCATGTTTAATTCTGCTACGATTTTTGATTATCACAAAGCTAAGTCCGTTTTTCAGTGGGTTTGATGAGTGGGAAATAAATGCAGCATTGACAGCCTTAAGTTCTCTTGGAAACAGTCCTACGAAGTTTGACCAACCTTTACTTTGGAAGTTTCTCCTGATCTTCTTGGCAGAAACACTGACGATGAACCAAGTCTAATCAGTCATCTCTTCAGAGATGCTCTTTTGGGTTCAACTGTAGAACTTGGTCACTCCTGGATTTTCTCAAAGTTCTCAAGAGACCATAGCCCACACCAGAAGTTTACTGCTGTGATTCCCTGAAACAGTGTCCCTCTGTCCCACCTGCCTGGTTAAAGAAAAACAAATCTAATATACAGGTGCTGGTCATAAAATTTGAATATCAAGACAAAGTAGATTTTTCAGGCATTTCATTCAAAACGTGAAACTTGTAAATTAGATCCATTCATTACACACAGACTGATGTATTTCAAATGTTTATTTCTTTAAATTTGGATGCTTATAAATGAGAACAATTAAAAAACCTAAATTTGGTATCAGAATATTGGAATATTTGTGAAAAAGTTTAATATTGAAGAGCCATGGTGCCACACTCTGATCAGCTAATTAAATGAAAACACCTGCACAAGCCTTTAAATGGTCTCTGTCTAGTTCAGCAGGTTACACAGTCATGGGGAAAACTGCTGACTTGACAGTTGTTCAAAAGATGACAACTGACACCTTGCACAAGGAGGGCAAGACGCAAAAGGTCACTGTTAAAGAGGCTGGCGGTTCACAGAGCTCTGTGTCCCAGCACATTAATATAGAAGCGAAGGGAAGGACAAGGTGTGGTAGAAAAAAATGTACAAGAAGAATAGATAACCCTGGAGAGGATTGTGAAACAAAACTCATCAAAAAATGTGGGGTGGACTGCAGCTGGAGTCAGTGCTTCAAGAACCACCACGCACAGATGTGTGCAAGACATGGTTTCAGCTGTCGCACTCCTTTTGTTAAGCCACTCTTGAACATGAGACAGCATCAGAACCGTCGCCTGGGCTAAAGACAAAATGGACTGGACTACTGCCGAGTGGTCCAAAGTTATAGTCTGGCCAGCCATGCCAGTGCTTCAATATGGGAAGCAAAAGGCCTGGTAATGCTCCCATCCAAATAACACCACCCCCTGAAAATTCTATCTGAGCCAATCAGCACTGAGCAGCGTACATCACACACTGTGATGCTCAGTTTCTCAAACCACAAAGATGGCGTCTGAAGCGGAGTTAGCTGCAGCTCTTTCCTGTTCTAAATGCTTTGGACATGTCTTTAATACCACAACAATAAGCGTTAAAAGCCTTTCTTCTAAAGAAAGATGTTTGCATCATCGCCAGTGTCGCGGGATACAGGTGTCATTCTTGCCTTGTTTCTGATTGGTTATTTTTGAGCTGGCTAGTCCCACCCCTCATGGTGCTTTCTGCCTCTGAGTATCAAGACTCGTCCCCTGTATAGAATAGATA